GTTTCCGGTAGGACTTGTAATTTATCAAATGAAAGAGCATCTAAACGAATCTATTGTCATCAACCATATATGTAAAGATGACAGCAGAGTGAGGTAATCGCCTAGGACAAATCTAGAAAAAACATTAATGATACATATCCACCAAAGCCAGGACTAACTTCCTGCAATGGTACGGCCAACAAAGTCTTCAACTTCAGGAAAGAAATGAGGGAATACTGTAAGTATCGTCAGCCAAATCGTCAGTACTGATTCACCCTTTATCGCGTAAGTAGTACTGATTTGATTGATCATAATCTATAATCTTGCTCATCAAGTCCTCATTGAAATGCATATTCACCTTCATTCCGGTCATTTCCTGTGCTAAAACATAAACGTTTGACTCGACCGTTGGCACCCACTTCTTCACCACATAATTCGGGGCAAAATCGATTGTTCGACAGTAAATCCTGAAAAAAGGAAAACAAATAAAACCCTGTGTCAAATAAATCATTCATTAACAAAAGAACTTTCGTTTCTATTTCAGCCTACAAATATCTCTAGACTGACGAGTAAACAAGAACGAGAAAACGAAATATGACCTATTTTGTAGAACCAATCATTTTCTTGAAGATGTCCACCCTGCACGTGTCAGGTGTATCGTAAAGGTCTTCTAGATTTGAACTAGCATAGTCGTCGTCACCCCAGACGTGGACGATGAACAGAGTGCTTGAAGTTATTTTTGGTTTTGTTCTAAGATTTCGATTAAATCCTTTCTGGATGCCTTTCTGTTCGCAAGACCTATGGGACTCTAAAGAGATCCATTTGTGCCGATGCCTTGCGTCGATGTTTGCACGAAAGAAACCTCTGCTGTCACAGACCATGTCATGGTCCTGTCCTCACCGCTCGTTACTGCCCAAACCCTTCGCCTTAATGGCCAAGACTTTCTTAGCATCGAAATCGACATTATCGAGAATGAAGAACTGTGCTTTTTTCTGAAGAAAGCCGATTTTGTGTTTCGACAACCGATGGCAGAGTGAGGCATGGCGAAGGCATGGGAACGGTTTTCCAATGCGCGTATTGTTGAAAGAAAGGCTCGTGGGGTGGTCCGCCAGGCATAATGGTGTGGGTGCAATCGATCTGAACAAGAGAGTTGGCCCTGTGGTGTTCGGAATTTCGGTCCAGAAAGAAGAAATGGCGTGACAGCTGCTCGCTATATTGATTAAATCATTAAGACCCCACGTTGTACCACATTTCGGACGTTACAGAAATCACATCTTCCGGGGAAGACAACGGTCGTGCGCACTACCAGAGCAACACTGGACTTCCCTAAGACAACATGGCATCCAGACCCTACAATAGCCTGCACTCAGTCCGAATTTAAAATCCAGTAGAACACATTTGGGACGAGAGATTCAAAGAAAACTGAATGGCCTCCAACCAAGGCCGACAACTGCGAGCTGGACTCGATCAGGCATTTCACAGAGTATGGACCCATCGACCGGCTAATTCATTCCATGTACCAGACGATGCAAAGGATTTCATCAATGCCCATGGAGGCCAGCACGATACTAACTTTGAGATATCTTAGTGGGACCATTTTTTGTGAATTTGTTTGTGTGAACTCTAATGTATTTCCCGAACATGTGTTGCTCCATAATTGTCACGTTTAAACGCAATCTTCCGTTTTTGATTGTTAATTAAAGCGAATTAAAGTGTGTGGTTAAAGAAAACTCTATCGTTTCGCGTTTCTTTTGCGGTTCAGTATATGTTTAAACCGATTTTCATATTACACACACAATACACACTTGCATGCATCTTAAATCGTGTCGCATTTTTGATACAGACTATAGCCCTTAAACAAAGGCTCACGCTTCAGTGGCTAATGCTAATCACCTAGCCCGCATCTCTCTAGCCAGCCATAGTGCTATGTTGTCTTAACAAGACCTTGTTGGTCCAGACTCTGGCAAGCTAGAGTGAAAACCATTACATTAGAAGAGGCCTTTAGAAGAGGTGTGGTGTACGAAGAAGTGTATGAGTGGTCATTATAATTTGTCATTCTCGTTAACAACAAATTGTTCTCTAATTGTAATTGCAATTACGACTGTTTCATTGTTTATGCATTGTTTATAGCATTGTGACATTCATGATATACATTCATTCGATGTGGTATTATTTTGTTATTTCTGCTCCAGAAACTTTGGAAGCTGTAAAATAAGAAACATATGTAAGTGTTTAATGTTCTCTACACATGGATCAAACTACACACTACTGGCCGGTATAAACAGGGACCCGACAATACCACACATTGCCCGGTTTGCATAGTCACGTGAGCTGAGCCATCAACTCATATGGTGCACATGGTACAACACAGCTCATCAACTGACGCCTACTAGGGCCCTACTAGAACTGCCAGTTACACCTGCCAATCAGCATGTATATGTTTATTGTGGGTCGCTCAGGGGCAGTGTTACCTTATTTAACTTACCGATTAAAACAGGCCGTTGGGCAAATATTCAAAACGTGACAGAGTATGTAAACTTTGTAACGGTAACGACGTGGCGATGAATTTCATTATTTATTTATTTGTTCTCACTTTATAAATGCAAAGAGTTAAATATTTAAAGCCATATTTTTTATACCATACCAAAATTTTCATAAAATGTATACATTACTCAATATCAATAAAGATAGCTATTTAGAAAACTCGCTTCATTCTGTAATATTATTGTAAACATTTTTAGAATCGTGGGTAAGAATACTCCATCTAAATATTTCTACATGTACACATAGAAGAAAGATATATTCACTTGTATCTTTATAAAAAATGTATTTGCATATATATAAGACCATTCGCCGTGCAACGGCTCTTCAGTGCACACTGGGTCTGCCATATACACTGACAAGCGTCACCAACAAGTGTGGCACCAGAATGTATTACTGCACCTATCCAGAAGAAAAATGTGTGCGTGTGTGCGCGTGTTTGTGTACTGGTCACGCAAATAAAGTCGGTTCATGACATGGCTCACTGACACATACCATGCCGGAATTTCAAAATGAAGACACCACAACAGTGTACCAACTACTTGCTAATCGGTCTGTATTTTATCACTCTTAGAATGCCGAAAGGATATTGAATGCTGATAGAATATTGCTGCCCAAAGCACTGCATATTTCTCAGTCCGACATCGAAAGACAGATTAAAGGACGATATCGACAAACACATAAGATCGGTTGTGGACGCAGCTCTGCACGCCCTTAGCAACAACTGCATGACAGAGCTAGTAAGAACGATATCATTAAGACTGACTAACTGTCTGACTGAGTTTGGTTTTACTCCGCTTTTAGCAATATTCCAGCAACATCACGGCGGAGGACACCAGAAATTGGCTTCACAACTTGTACCCATGGGGATTCGAGCCCGGGTCTTTTTGGCGTGACGAGCCAACGCTTTAACAACTAGGCTACCCCACCGCCCTGTGTCATTAAGAAAGTGGTAGCAAACTGCAACTGGTGGAAGAGTTCATGTCTAAACGGCGCACAGTCGTTTGCACAGGCGGCATTTGCGTGCACGACATCCACGTGACATTCCACAACTTACGAAATTTGTAATCATTCTAATCAGCGTTTCATGGACGTTAACGGTGAAACGCATGGTCCATAATGACATTTGGGTGGTATCACGAAACACTAGACTAACTATGCCCTATATTGACCATGACACAATAACAGATCAAACAGCTCACAATGAAACATCATGTAACAAAGCTCTGTCAGACAGCAAACTTTCATTTACAGGAATGTTGGATGTAATCGTCCCTACCTAACAAAATCATCAGCTGAAATTTTTACTGCGTTCTTTAATTATCTCACGCATTGACTACTGCAGCAGCCCTCTGACAACATCTCCAAAGAACAGATCACCCGAATACAGCATATCCAAAATAAGCTGCAACAGTGATCTACAAAACTTCTAAATTTGAGCATATCTCTCCCCTGCTACGACAACGTCATTGGCTTCCAGTTGCTGCACGCAGTGTCAATGGAGTCCTTGTTCTTGCCTATAAGTGTTTCCTACTACTACTACTACTACTACTACTACTACTACTATTTACCGCCTCCGTGGTGTAGTGGTTAGGGCGTCCCGCCCGGACAGCGGAAGGTCGCGGGTTCGATCCCCGACCGCGTCGTACAAAAAGACATTAAAATATGGTACTTGTTGGTCCCTGTCTGGCGCTCGGCATTAATGGGTACAACAAGGACTGGTCGGCTCGTAGTCAGTATAATGTGTCTGAGTGGGGTATTTCTGCTTCACTGCGGCATGGTATCTCAGTGGGCTAGCACTATAAACCAGCTTAAGTATGGGCTAGTACAAGCAGCCGCACATACACACGCATGCACGTCGTCATATGAGCAAAATATTCTTAAGCACGACGTAAAACCGAATTTCACCTCACCTCACCTCACTACACTACTACTACTACTACTACTACTACTACTACTACTACTACTACTACTACTACTACTACTACTACTACTACTAATACTACTACTACTACTGCTACTACTTACTGTCCACAAAGGACTCTAAGATCACAAATGTTATTCTCAATCCCTAGGTGAAAACTTCAACTTGTGGCAAAGAAGAATGCTCTATGCTGCAGCATTAAAATGGAACAATCTCCCAGAATATCTTGAATCTGCCTCCAGTCTCTCTTCTTTTAAATCTCAACAAAACACCCACTTGTTTCTACACAACCTTTAAAATTATCGTTTTCTTTAAGCACAGAGAACACATTTATGTCGGGAATTTATGCACTCTATAAATGAATGTATTCTTATTATCAGATTAAAATATATAGGTATGCAGCAGAGAGGGGTTCGGGTGATCCTGGCACAGTCAGACTGGTAAGGCTCATCATCAGCTCAGGGCCCTTGCCCCTCTACACGCAGCCGAGACGGCGAATGGGACTTCTCCCAGGAAACTGTGCCTAGTCGAACCCACCAAGAACTTTCTGGTGAATATGTAGACTCCCCAACACTGCAGCCTTCCGCATTACCCAGAGTGTCAGAAGGGCTGTGCTCTATTATTGTTATTATTAATCACTGCATCACTGCTTGCCATCTTCACCTGACGTTGGGAAAAGTTTCATCATTCAAGATGATAACTGAAGTGAAAAAAACAACTCTTTCCACATCCATAAGAAATATCTGCTAAAAGTAGAGTCGATTGTACAATTGTGATTTATAATGAGCACATATTTGTTTCAACAGTTTTACAGCTGTACGATGTTGTTTGTAAACAATTCGAGTCTGAACCAGACAATCCAGACAATGACGTGTTCATGCCACTATGGTGGTGCAGTTCTTCCAAATGCAACAACCCGTGAGGGCCCCGGGTTAGAATTGGTCTTCAGTAACCCATGCTTGGCGACTATGCTTGTCGTAAGAGGCGACTAACGGGTTCGGGTGGTCAGGCTCGCTGACTTGGTTGACACATGTCATCGGTTCCCAGTTGCGCAGATCGATGCTCATGCTGTTGATCACTGGGTTGTCTGGTCCAGACTTGATTATTTACAGACCGCGCCATATAGCTGGAATATTGCTGAGTGCGGCATAAAACTAAACTCACTCACTCACTCCAAATGCAACAAATCCACAACATCATGTCATGTCTAGTGCCGACCATTCATCCACTGTGCATGTCTTTGGGCGTCTTAGGACGATTTGTAGATGAACGTCAAAACCAACCCACTACGCTCAATGAACAGGGTGTAGCTCTCGCTGATCAGGTGAACAATGTGAGACAAAATGTCATTGGTCAACTCATCAGAATCATGCCTTGTGCACCTAACAGAGGTAGTATCACCCTATATCAGTGACGTTTGCTTCAAAATGCAAACTTGACCACCGACCTTTTCAGAGCCGTTGTACGCCACACTCTCATCACACTGACCATTAAAACAAATTAGATATTATGATTTCCTTTCGCCACAACCAGGTGGTTCAGAAGTTTTGTCTTGATGACGCTCAATGTCTCCTACTTTTCAGGCGTAGAAAATATGAAATCACTTTGGATTGCTGATTAAAAATTTGAACCATATGAAAATGTTTGTCTTCGTTTTATCTTAGGAATAATTTCAATGCAAATCCGTGAGGCAGAATCTTGATTTATTAATATTTGTGTGTGGAGTACATGTGCTCAGCCCAAACGCTTTCTTTCACGTTCATACGCAACACGACATGATGTATGCATCAATAAAGTACTAACAAGAGATTGTGAGTTTATCATGTATATTTTAAAGTAAGATAACACCGTAACCCAGTAACAACTAAAATGCTAACCCAAGTAAATAGAGTAGCCTGTCAGTGTAACGAAAGTTTTTGCCGACCATGTTCCCAATGTTATGGAAATGATGCCTCAGCTTCAAATTGTTCCAAATTATCATCCATAAAGACTCTACCCCGTAAGACATTGTGGGCTGCTGACTTTTCATTGGTAATGAACTCTTATAACAATAATGTAAATGATTTGGCATACAGCTGGCGAGAACACCAAATGTGTAAAGTCACCAAAAGAAATGCCATCAGATAAATAAGCAATTGACTGAAATGATATTTTCTGGGTTAAGCAAATCTGGTGCATCTGTTATCACATAATCGGCACCTTCTCCATATTTGGGGTACCAGAGGCGAGATCAGTCATTGGTAACGCCGCTTCTGTTCCCGTGGCTCCAGCTCCACCTCCAGGCTCTCCTGCGTAGATTTCTCGTGCATTTTGAAATTCTTCTTCCTTTTCCCGAAACACTTGGTACATATGCTGGGTGAGCTTCGCTGAAACCAGCTCACTGGAATTCCAGGAGATCATGGACAAGACAAGTACTCCATCAATTCCCAGGAAATTGCTGATGAATCGAGTTATAGAGTGTTCATCAGGGAGAGATCCTTTGGCAGCGTTGACATGGGCAGCTATCCTGCCATCTCTTAGGAATGGAAGGAAGAGAAATCCTGCCCACAGGACAAGGTTAAGGATGGTGATGACAGCCAGGAGGAAGATCCAGTACCACAAGAATGTGAACATCTTCTCATAGATTTCGGTGATTGGCAAGGTGCACTGAACTCTATACCTGTGAGAAGTCTGCACTTGGTTTATAACAAAATCGCAATGACCATCTTTTACAAGCAACGGATTTATGATGGAGTCCATATCAAAACCAACATAGGATCCAACCCTGATTGCCAGGTGTTGTCTGAAGTGTAATGTTAGGAAAATAAACTGCGCTATCAGATTGACACATAACAGAAGTTTCACAAACAGGTACAGAAGAGCCAGAACGATTCGGTGTCTTTTCAGCAGACTCCCAAATACTCGAGCTGCATCACTGAACATGGCCTGGCAATTCTCAGCATTGGTCAATTGTACACTTTTCAGTGACTCCACAGTTTCCTCCATATTGAAAGTGAACAAGTGCTTGGTGCTGTTCCAGATGATGTTTGGTAGTTTGAAAGCGAGGGCTTGGAAGAAGAGTATGAGTGGTATCCAGAGGTGGTAGGAAGGTACAGGTTCCGGTTTTTCGTCATGATCATCATACATCGACTTCTTATCATACAAGCCCTTCAGAAAACACGATTCCTGTGTGTACGTGTAATGAGACTGTTCGAATTGAGCAGGGCACCAACAACTGATGGGTGTAGTGATGTAACGCATGGCGAATGATCCCACAGAACACACGGTCAATAGAAGGACTGTCCAGAAGCTGTTGATGGAGTCGACATAATCCTGATCTAATCCACGTCCAAACCATGCTCTCAATCCTGCCATTGTTGTCTAGAAACAAAACCAAACATGATTCACGTCATCACTTTGGTCACCAGTTTTTGTGTGTAATGCTGACTAATACAGAAAATCAAAATACTAGTACTGGGAATGCAAACATTAGTTAATGCTATATACTCTGATTTAGATCTACTCACGTGCCACTGCAGTTAATCCGAATACCATCTTCAAGTAAAGCTTACCGAATTGGCATTTCTTTGTACAGAATATGAACTGACCAAGAGCTGCACTCGTTATAGCACTGGGACATCACACAGATGCGCTGTGCTCGACTCACACTAAAACAGATTTTCCATTACCAAATGCATTCGTTATTTTGACGGCTTTTTGGTGGCATTATTTGGATACACATTGTCAAATGAAAAAGAATCTCTTGAATCATAAGTGAACATATTCCTCTGTATTCATCCGACCCGTGAAGATCCGGGATAGAATAGGTCTTCAGCAACGCATGCTTGCCACAAAAGGCGACTATGCTTGTCGTAAGAGGCGACTAACGGGATCGGGTGGTCAGGCTCGCTGACTTGGTTGACACATGTCACATATGTTATACTTGGGATTACACTTTCTCAGTAAAGTACATATTCTAGTACTTTTTGTGTTGAGTCCCTTCCGGGATTCGAACCCACACCTTCTGCGTCAGGCACCTAATCGCCAGTAGACAAAGTCAGACGCCTAGACCGCTCAGCCATTTGACCACTTTCTAAAATGGCATGGTGTATTTCATAGCTTTCGGCCGTGGGAGCCGTACCAAATTAACACTTATCAGAGGGTACACAATGTCCGCAGTCTAGACTACCAGTTGTCCGACTTCCATTTTTTGTGGAAGCTGAAGTGGCTGAGCGGTCCAGGCGTCAGTCTTTGTGTGCTGGCGATTTGGTCCCTGACTCTGAGGGTGTGGGTTCGAATCCCGGATGGGACTCAGCCCCAAAAGTACTAGAATCTGTACTTTACTGAGAAAGTGTAATCCGAAACATAACATGTTACATTTGACCACTTTCTAAAATGGCATTGTGTATTTCATTGGTTGACACATGTCATCGGTTCCCAATTGCGCAGATCTATGCTCATGCTGTTGATCACTGGATTGTCTGGTCCAGACTCGATTATTTACAGACCCCGCCATATAGCTGTAATATTGCTGAGTGCGGCGTAAAACTAAACTCACTCACTCACATGTCATCGGTTCCCAATTGATGATCGATGCTCATGTTGTTGATCACTGGAAGTCAGTTGTAACTAATTTTTCAGCAATTCAGCTCTTAACTTACTGTATTGTTTTATAAACAATGACAGATTTCTAATATTTTGTTCATTGCAAGACCATAATACTAAATTAAAAGTGGTTTTTGATAGATAATACTCTGGTATATATTTCTGTCTAATGTCAGCATACGATTTACAGATAAATACTATAATGCAAGACAATACAATATGAAAACGGGCTATAGATGACCAGCAACTGAAGGTTGATCACCATACCATAGACCATGGGGACTTACAGTGCCTTTGCTACCTGCATGGACCCTAGACGGATCTATATCATCCCCTCAGCCGTTAGTGATTGTTGTTAACTTTAGCCATGTCTTAGAACACAAAAAAATGCGTTTTAAAAATTCGGTAAGTTTATTTTACCTTGAATGTTTAAGTACTTACGTATCCCCAGAGGAGGAATATTCAAGCAAGAGTTGTTAAGAAATGGAAGCAAGTCTACACGATTAAGTCGAAATAACGCAGCATTACAACACCTATACTTACAATGATGAAGTGAAGGGGTCCTGTTCCTGAGGTGTGTGTGTGAAATTAGCCTGTTTTGAGTCTTCTCCCAGGGTAACAGTACAGACGGTTTGCTTCACATCCAACTACAGACGTCAACAGTACAGGCGATATTCAACGCTCTGTCGCGTTATAGTTGTTAGAAATGACTTCAGAACGTGAGTCAAGGGTTTGGTCTCGCCATGCAAACATTATTACGTCCAATTAATCTCTCCGTAGGAACGGTAATTGTAGCATTTCAGGACAGGAGTACTCTTGACCTCCCCTGGTTTCTCTAACACGGACCGTTATGTTGGGAAAATGGAATCGAGTGATCTTTAACAACAACATGTCTGACTTATAGATGTCATGCTATATTCTGCTTTTGTAAAATGAGAGCCATGTTACCCTCTATTAATACATTAGCGTCTGATCGGTAAAGGAGCGGGCATGTATTTTCCATGCAGCCCGTTCCCGAGCTCCTTTTTGCAATGTATTATGAAGATAAATTAGGTTTCTTTTCTGTAAAACGTTCATTTCAGAGACGTGACTTACAACTAGTGAACTTGGCTAAATATCATATAATGTATGAAGGCACGACGTTCCAGGTATAAGAACCTAATTTGGTCTACCATGATGCTTCTCTTTATCATTTCGAATACTAAGGAACATCTCGGCGTTGTTGTATCGTAGGATATGAATCGGTCTGCCCAAATGGACAATGTTTGCTACTCAACATTAACATGGTACGTTCTGTATGAAAACTTAGGCACATAAATGATAAATCAACATTATTTAATCAGAAGATATGTCTTGATCATTCCTATAGTCCCTCCTGTTATACTTCACTAAATACATATGTAGAGTGGATTGTTAATTTAAGTCTTTGAATCTCATTACAAATGTTTGTCTTTGTTTATTGCTGGGAATAATTCCAGTTCAAAGTCAATACGTAATGAATGTGGATAGAGCAGAAACTACCTTTCAGGAACGATCATGTTCAAGGACACAGTTTGGCGCAAGTCTTTCTCCTTTACGTCGATAAATCTGTTGACGTCCATCAGCAAAGGATAAGTTAAAGCTGGATTCATCTGACATCTGGCCATGTCCTGTTGCCAAGATTGGCCCCATTTGCTGCCCATCGCTGTCTGGCAAGTCTGTGGCCATGCAATAAGGTTGGACCACGGTACGGGTGACGACACCGGATGTTGAAGGCAGCAAGGCGTCCTTTCACCTTTTGGGCGCTGAAATGACGTTGACTTGTCCCAATTGTCCTCCTTGCCTAATCATCAGCTGTTTGGAACCGATTTCGTAAGTGCGAAACTCGGATATTGCGGTTTTGTCGAGCTGTTATCACAGGTGGTGCACCAGGTCTTGGACGATCAGCAACACTTCCGGTAGCCCGAAAACGTTGTCTGAGTCGAGTTACAGTGGATGGATGCACATTAAAGTGCCTGGCAATCATCACATCTGAAGCACCTTGGCTGAACATACCGATTACCTGATTCCTTTCGTCTTGTGTCAAGTCTGGCATTTTCTCACAGTAATTGAGTTCCACAATTCCTTGTGCTTTTACAGGGCCTGGGTGCAGGTAATGCATGTGTACAATGTGTTTCATGAATGTAGTTTTGTTTACGAGAAATGTCAAAGGTTCAGTTTTAAAGGTCACATGCAACGTAAAACACAACTTTGCAGATTCTGATACCTTTCGGTATGGACTTATCGAAACAAATCGTCAAAAATGCAAATTCAACTTATAATGTTGAAAAATAACGCGATGAAAAAAAACCGCGCGAAATCGGAGTTCAAACGTTTCACTAATTTTCCCCAGACTTTTCTGGGGAAAACGGGTTTCAACAGCTGGGCTGCGCTCATAGCACGTGCGCAGTGAAATAGGTTCGCGCAACTTGGAAGTGGGCTGTCTGGTGAATACTCTGTGAAGCCCTATATCACGGGCCAGAAACGGTGGGTGTTGTTGTTTAAACGTCGCGTGGACGACGACTATACACAATCCATTGACATGTTGCACACCGGCGTGAAGCTGGTTCCCAGGGCCAACTGGTGGTATCATCAGAAGTGACCTGTCTTTAACGGGTTCGAAGACGGGGCGCTTTTAAGCCCGATTTGACCCGATTTACGGCAGTATTTCACGCTGCAGATGCTTGTTATGTTTCGTACATCGACCACAGGGTTTTGTTGTTACTATGGATCGAAAGCCCCGTGTCTTAGCTTTCACGTCATAAAGTGCGACACGTGCGGGTGTCGTCACGTTTTCCCACCCTTAAAGCCCCCGAAGCTAAGCCCCGTGCGTGTGACGGGGAGCCAAAACAGCCTCAGATTTCATATCAAAGGGGTTTGATCTCTGCATCCCGCTTTTGCACTAATCGTCTCGCACCCGGAGAAAGAAACATATGCACGCATATCATATATGAAAATGTTGCCACGTGGACAAGGCACCTGGGATCGTCACGGGGTCGACGTGGGCACCTGGCTGGACGTCCACGTCCATTTGGACGTGTGATATAGACATGTCTTTTACCAAGAAAAGAGCCTTGCTCTGCGATCATCTTTATACGTCGCGTGGACGACAAATATACGCAACCCATTGACATGTTGCACATCGACGTGAAGCTGGTTCCCAGGGCCAACTGGTGGTATCATCAGAAGTGACCTGTCTTTAACGGGTTCGAAGACGGGGCGCTTTAAGCCCGATTTGACCCGATTTACGGCAGTATTTCACGCTGCAGATGCTTGTTATGTTTCGTACATCGACCACAGGGTTTTGTTGTTACTATGGATCGAAAGCCCCGTGTCTTAGCTTTCACGTCATGTGCGACACGTG